GCTACAAACCTATTAACGCAAAACATTCGGTAGAATTTATAGAATATTGTAAAAAATGATGGTCTATTACCAACATATATATATATATATATATATATATATATATATATATATATATATATATATATATAATACACACATTTCTTATATTTTTCATATATATCCAATCTTCCTTACTTTATCTACTTTTAATTTTGGGGTACCTCAGGATTCTATCCTTGGCCCTTTTCTGTTTATACTCTATACTTCTTAACTACCTCGTATAATTAAAAATTTGTCTTTTACTAGTCAACTAGATGCTGATGATTTTTATACTTCTTTTCTTCCATGTAATCTCAATAGTGTTTTTCATAATATGTATATCTTTAGTCTTTTTTCAATTATCGCTTGGTCTGACTCAATGTGTCTTAAATTTAATCCTTCTAATTTTGAATTAATTTGTTTTAATAAATCTAAACACTCTATTACTATTCCTCCTATTATCTTACCTCATTCTAAAACTCTTGATGTTTCTCACAAGTTTCGTAGTTTAGGCTTTATTTTTGATTCTAGTATGTCTCTTTCTTCTCAGATTAATATTGTTGCTAGAAGTTTTTTCTTTCATCTACGTAAAATAAAAAAACTTTTGGATTTTCTTGACGATCATACTCTTCTCCTTCTTGTTACTTCTTTAGTTTTATCTATGATTGATTATTGTAACTAGCTCTACTATTGTAAAAATATATTAAAGTTAATATATCAAAAACATTAAACGGCTTGAATCATTTTTTATTCAAATTGCAGTGAATTCAAAATAAAAAAAATTAAACTTATCAGCCAAGACCAAAAAATTCAATTAGAACATTAATAATTTGATATTATACAAACACCACTTTGTTTACGCAACAAAGCTTAACACCGTTTTTGTTACTTTTAATCCGTTAGCGGTTTATTTTATAAGTACATCAGTTGAAGAAACTTTAAAAAATAATATGCATCATCAAACACACTTTTACTCGCCATCAAGACTTCAATAAAGAATAAAGTTGGCAAATATATGAACAAAAAAAAGTAAAATCATGTAAACGTAACTTGCATCATAAACGTATATGTATATATATACACAACTTAGTTCTGTGTGCACCTATTGATCCAACACAACCTTGCATTGTGGTCATGATAGTGCAGTGGTGCAACATAAAGATACTCTGCTCGACAGAACTAACACCTGGGACCAACTCCTCTAGTGGTGAACAAAAGAGTTTGCTTGTTCTTTTTCTTCTTATTTTTCTTCATTCCACCATCTTCTCCGTCTAATCATAAATAATTTAAATTACTGTTTTGACAAGCATGCCCACATGTACGCCACTAACAAGTCTAACTCAATCGAAAATCTAATATTACGATAAAGTACAGTCGGACCCCAGTTCAAGAAAAAATTCGTTTTATATTTCGTTACATGAAATTTGTTTGGGGAAAAAATTCTATATTGCCTAAAAGATGTTTATATGCTATGTATTTGCTAAAAACAACCCTCGGATCATATATTTTGATAATAGAAAGTAATATGGTTTACTCGACATCGTGTTGTGGATTTTTCAATCACTAAATTGTTCGTTATAAACTAATGTTTTTGCTCGTTTCCCTTCGATAACGCAATAATAAATTTTTTCTGTCAATGTTTTTTAAAATTTGCGAAAGATTTCGTTGCTGTATTACAGTTCATTTTACAATTTACTATGAATTCAACAAATTTTCATCGTCGTCGCCATAGTAACCGATTTTAATTTCAAATTTCAACGCTTTTCTTTCATCTACAAATCATCAATAATTTTAATTATGACAACAATACAACAAACGTCATCATAATCAAGTTTTTCAATGCTACTTGTTTAGTCCATCTCGCAATTTGTTGCTTTTGTCAAATAATTGTCGCTATGACAACATAAACAACGGACTCGCGAAGAACTTCTTGGTTTTTTACCACCCAAAATTCTCTCAGCATTCCTCGAACATGTAGAAAAATCATGTTTCAATTAAATATTTGGAACTCGCGTTTGACACGTTCATCAATCTACAATAACCTTTCGGATCTGAGAAAAAGACCCAGCGTTAACAAACGCTTGGCCAAATTAAAATGTGGCCTTGCAAATGCAAGGTCCGCTGTCAACAAGGCCGCTCTTCTGAACGACGTCATATGTGAGGAAAAAATTGACATTCTCGCCGTCACCGAAACCTGGATACCATCCGATGCCCCACGGGTATTTTAACAAAGTTTGGCTCCCTTGGGTTACGCAGATTGTCATTCTCATCGTGGTACTTCCAGTGAAAAACGTGGTGGCGGCTTGGCTGTTGTGTACAAAAACTTACTGAGGACAACACCCATCAACAATAAATAGTACAATTTTTTGTAATTTTGAAAGCCTATCAGTAAAATTCAACACATTTTCGTCGTCATTCATTATCTCATCAATTTAATGGCCACCCGGTCCTGTTTTAACAGGCTTTCATGATGAATTTACCTATCATCTAGATTTCACCATTGGCCATAATCTACCGTTTATCATCTGCGGCGACTTCAACGCACCAGCACCTCTCTTGGGTATTGATCATCACCTGTCTTCGTTATTAGAATCCTTCAATCTCACTCAACACGTCAGCTCCTCTACACATGTACATGGCAATTTGTTGGACCTCGTAATCACTCATACCAACAACAACAGCATTGTAGATAATGTTGTTGCCAATGATTGCGTTTTTTCAGATCACAACATTGTGTGCTTCAACTCAACGCTCTTCAAACCATCATCGACAATCATCTATAACTGCCGTCGCAGCTTTCGTCGTTTAAATTACACGACATTCGAAAATGATTTAAACAGAGCATTTAATGATTTGCTCTCACAAGATTTGGAAGTCTATGAGTTTGCGTCAGTTTTAAACAAAACTTAAAATGACATCGTCAACAAACACGCACCAATCAAGCATTACCTGTTTCGTGAAAGCTCCCACCCCCGTTGTGCTTTATCCCAAAAAGCAATAGCAGCTAAAATTGTCGTTGTATGGAGCGTGTTGAACCGCACATCCCTAATCTAAGCATGTGACAACTTACTATATATAGCTTCAACACAGACAACAGCCCTTCTTCTTCTTGCGACATTTTACGATCGAACTTCTCTTTGTCTAATTGCATTGCCGAACACGTTTTCATTTATTTTGTATTGCGCAAATAAATACGTTATAAACATTCTAACTTGTTGTTTCTAATATCTAAAGAAACTCGCAACAAGCGTCACTACAAACATGAAAAATCAGCGCTCAACTTGTCAACTACAAAAAATGCTAAACGTGCTGCTCGTGATGCATTATGAGGTCTAGGATCGATTCTATTGAGAACACTCTCAACAACAGCAGCAACTCTCGTGATCTCTGGCGATTTCTTAACAACATTCTTTACAAACGCTCAGATCATCATTTTTCTGATGCTGAATCTCTTACTCTTATATCTTCTTTTGCTAACTTTTTCAAGGACAAAATAAATTCTATTCATCAATCTATTGCCACAATAATTGCTTCTTCTAACATTCCTTCTTCAAACCATAGATCTCTTTCTTCCTCTCTTTTTTCTTCTTTTTCAGCTGTCACCTCAGAAGAATTTCTAAAGCTCATCAACTCTTTGCCCAACAAAACCTCTCCACTTGACATTATTCCAGTTTTTATCCTTAAAAAATTTTCTAATTTTTTTACTCCATTACTTTCTAAGCTCTGCAATTTTTTCTAGAAAACTCCATTTTTTCCACTTCTTTTAAGGTAGTTCAAATTCTACCTTTACTGAAAAAATCTAACCTTGATACATCTGATCCTTCTAATTACCGTCCTATATCCAACCTTTCAACCTTCTCTAAATTACTTGAACGCATTGTCTTGAACAAGATTCTCACTCATATTACTTCATCTTCTAATTTTTCTCCTTTTCAATCTGCTTACAGAAAATATTATTCTACAGAAACAGCCCTCTTCATATTTACGACCAGCTTGCTTACATATGTAGAAATCAGCCTGGATCTTTCAGCAGCTTTTGATACCATTAATCATCAGATGCTTATTGACAGACTTGAGGCCTTATCTGCCTTATCCTGGATTCAATCTTATCATTTTAATCGTTTTCAATATATTAAACTTGGCTCCCACTCTTCTTCTAGCTTCACCTTATCTACTGGAGTTCCCCAAGGACCTGTCCTTGGTCCCATTCTTTTCACTACTTATACCTCTCCAATTTCTAATATCATTAAAATTTTTGGCTTACTCTTTCATCAATACGCTGACAATACACGTATAATAGCTAAAATTCCTACACCTATAATCATATATCCCAGCTTGACAACTTAAATGCATGTACTAAGGCCATAAACAATTGGCATTTATCAAACTTTCTTCAGCTAATCCCCCACAAATCTGAAGTAATGTTTCTTGGCACTCCGCAACAGCTTATCAAATTTTCCCCCCATCACACGTTTTATTGGCTGATTCTTTTCTCTCCTCAATCTCTAAACTTAACTTTTGACTTTTCTCTATCTTTTAATTCTCGTGTTTTAGCTTAGATAAAATCATGTAACTATTATACGTGAACTATTCGTCATATTCGTAATTTTCTCACTGAAGATAATGCTTCTGCACTGACTCGATGTCTCGTACTATCACGTTTAGATTATTGTAATTCTCTTCTCTACGGTCTTCCTTCTTACCTTTTAACTTTACTTCAAAGAGCTCAAGATTGAGTTGCAAAAGTTGTTTTAAATATCAGTAATTTATCTTCCAGCACAGATTCACTCATTCACCTACATTGGCTACCAGTACGTCAATGCATTATATTTAAAGTCGCCGTCCTCGTGCACAAGTTACTTATTACATCTCAACCTTCATCAACTTATATAGCGTCGTTCATCAACTCGTCAACTTCGTTCGTCTTCATATACTCAGTTGCATCAACCTGTCAGCAATTCATCAGTTGTCAACAAATGTTTTACGTACAGCTCTCCTTCCATATGGAATGGTTTGTCCTCCGTTATTTGTCAACAATCAACCATCAAACTTTTTAGGAAACGATTAAAGAACTTTTTGTTTATTCAGGCCTAAGGAAAGGTCAAAAGTCATTGTTTATCCAAGCGTCCCTGAAGCAATGCATAGGACGCGATATAAATTAATAATAATAATAATACATGGTATAATTGTAAAAATTAAAATTTTAGAAGTGAAATTTATTTTTGTTTTATGCAATGATGATTCCAAATTCCACTGGAATTATATCGAGGTAAAATTAGCAAAAATTACTAGAATAAAAGAACTTGAAACAATAAACATGGTTCTAAGTTTATATCAGTTCATAGAATGTTTGCTGGTCGGATATTTCCTTTAACTTTTATAAATTTTGTTCGTTTCAGAGAAATTATTTTCATTGTATAGAAACCGTTTTATTCATAAAATTCCAAGGAACATAAAAAATTTGTAATATAGAATTTTTTGCTGTTCGTTATAAGGAGATCCGACTGTATATAATATGTTCACTAATTATTCATGTTAAAAAAAATTTTCATCATGTATAGACAAAAAAGTTACTAAAATTTGTTACCAAAAACAAAATGAATCACATCTATTTTTAAGCAAATTATGGAGGCCGCTTACTTGAGCACCTATCGTGATCATAGTGATGATGATCTGACTGCTTGCCTGACATTTCCATGTTTCTCAACTTTTCCTCAATCCCCTCACACCAGGTCACCTTGAAATCAGGAACCAAACTCACTCCACCGCACTCATCATCGTCGGCATCTTTATTTTTCACGTTAGTTTTTCCATGTTTGTCACTATTTTCTTGCATTGACGCCTTTGCTGTGCCAAATGGTTGCTGCTGTTTTGTTTTTCCCATCCTTATCATCTGCAAATATTAATAAGCAAGAAATAACGTCTACATTTAAAAAAATTTTCCAGTAAGGTTACAACAATCAAATAAATTTGAGCAGTGTAGATAGAACAGGACGAACCCTTAAGAAAGGTTTTACAAATTCAAATAGAAATAGCAAAATGTTTCAACAGATAAAAAAACAACAAACCAACATGAAAACTGAAGTAAAGGGAACAATACAAAGGAATGTGAAACATTACGTATATTGCAGACCTGAGCAAATGACATTGGACTATTATTCTGCCTCATAACTTCATCTGCAACTTTTGCAGGGCCACAAAATTCAGCATCAGCATTAAACTCATTATCATGATGATCATTTCCTGATGATGATGAAGAAGTTTCTGATATTTTCATCGTTCTCACGTCTTTTCTATAATCTGACCTGACAATCTGTGCAGTTGGATCTGTGTAAGTCGTCAATGTTTATTATCAACCACCTCTAGATAAAAATTCAATGAAATAAGTAAAAAATTAAAAAATAATTCAATACAAACATTCTGATAATTATTTCTTCAAAATTTACTGTTACGTTAAATTTCATAAACATAAACTGATATATTTTATTTGCCTTTATGTCATGAAAACGAAAGAGAAACACTACTAAGACAATCTCACCAATTCCCAACTTCCTGTTTTCCTCCCTCTGAATTCGTGCTGCCATCTTGCAATCCCTCTTCATCTTTCTCTTCCTCTCTGCCTCCCTACTTTTCCTCACTTCCTCAAACACATCATAAGCATCTTTCGAAATAATTGGAGGTCGAAGATCAAGTTCCACTAACTTGAATTCACATGAGAGTGGCAGGTGGTTGAGGTAGCGAAGTCTGTCTCTCCATAACTGCAGGTGTACAATTGATATAACAGTGTGTGACTCTACACCAAAACTGAATGCATTAAAGTATCTTAAACAAGCATCCTACAGATCATTAAGGAAAATCCAAATGACAGACACACACAGCAGAAACACATGCACACCTCATCCATGGACCTCTCTTCTACTTCTAAGATGTTGGCAACAATTTCATCAGGACATCGTGAGAGTGTGAGAAAGTCTTGTTTCAATGATTTCACATTAAGTGCATGCATGTATATGTGCTGACCATCAGCAGCTGTTCGTTGAAAATGTTTAAATTTATCAGTACATCGATTATCATGTGATTGAAATGTTCAAAAGACAAGCAGTCACTAATTTTTCCGTTATTCTCCTACACCGTTCTCTCAACATTCCAAATCCATTAACGAAATCAAATTTAATGTAATGTTAATTAGGCAAACCAAACTGATATAACAATTATAATTAATTAAAAACTATACTAAAACGAAATGTCTCAGTGACAATATGACATGATTAATTGTTAATTGTAATTAATCAGTGCTCAATTAAGCTTGGTCCATCAAGAGTGAGCAATGTGATTAATCAAGTTTGATCAATTAATTTTTTTAAATATTTTCAAATAAACCTTGGTAAAAGTGCAATACATTTCTCTCTTCATCATTATCTACTCTGTCAGTCACCTTCAACATTTTCTCATCCTGCTTTTTGGCAACACAACCGACATCATTTTTAATTTCATCATTATCATCATTTTGGCAATCTTCTGCTAAATCATCAAAATTTTTAATTAATTTTTTATGTTTATAATCCTCATTAATTGCTGCAGAAAGAACGAAACCACCACCAGCATCATCGTCATTGTCGTCTTCTTCATCTTCCCTTTCTTTATCATCCTCTCCAGCATCGTTACCACCGACCAATTCATGCCCACCGACTGCCTCATCATCATCAAATGCTGACACATAGAATTTGACACTGGCACATGACTGTGAATTGACTTGTGCACCAATGTCATCATCGCCATCTTTTTTAATCAATGTATCAAGCTTTTTTAAAACGGTTTTGGCATCTGATGGTAGTTCGGGTGATAACAGACAAGGTGGAGATGAAGACGATCCAATCCAGTCCATTCTCTGTTTCTCTAACTTCTCCAGAGCCAGTTTGATGAAACATGATTCCAAATTCTGCAAGGGATAATTTGGAGGATGTAAACACGGAAGGGTGGAGATGATGATCAGAATAGCAGCAACTGGAATTAATTATATAGCAATAACGAAAATGACCAACATTTTCAGTCTCTTCGTTCAGCACTTCCAACAACTCCACTCTTTCTTTCATCATCATATCACTGATGTAGTCATCATCAGATGTCAACAATTTGGCATACAGGGACTGCTTCAAATCTACACGTTCAAATTAGAAAAATTATTTAAGAAACCATTTCAGTAACTTTGTTCATGATAATGTAATTGTACACCATCCGAATCATTACATTTAATAGAATCACAGAGCTGGTTTAATGGAAAAATAAAGTGTTCAACTCGTCAGACATGGAAACAAACCTCTGACAGATCTCAGATGTCCAACATTATGGATCCATTGAGACTTTGGTACAACGGTCAACTGACCTCTTAACTTCTTCATCAATTTCATTGTAATCTGCATTCCTGCTTCATACTTGGTCACCAATGTTGCCTGGACACTGTGTGTGCATGTGTGTTTGTTTATGAGTGATGTACATGCATTTCAAACCATCCAAAGCAATTTAAAGAGCACAAAGGTAATTTTTATTTCATTATCCTCACTGCTTTGTTAAAAACTATACCCTCCCACCAGTTAAAGCAACACAATACAAAAAAAATTACATCTACAAAATAATAATAGTAAAAACATCCTGAAGGTCATGTGGTGACCAGCAAACCTTTTGAGATCATTAGAGTGCACAGCATCCGAGCAGATGGGGCACTTCCTCCATGATTTGTCATCCAGGGACAAGTAGTGCAGAATGCACGGCCAGCAATATATGTGCCCACATCGAGTTATCTTGGCTGGTCAGTTTTAAGATAATTTATTTTTAGATTAAGTACAAATCAACAAAAACATAAGAGTGTTTTAACTTGAAGAAATCAAACAAGTTAATTTTGTTCCTTAATCACAAAACCCAGAGTAGCGTATAACCACAAAATAAAGAAACTGTTCATTTATAATCCAAATTTGTCATGCCAGTTGGTCACATGTGGTAGCAAATTTTTTGGGCTAAAGTTATGCAAAATTGAACTGGCAGAAACTAGAAGATATAATAATCGATCGAATTGAATGGAGAACAAGTGGGATGGTAAAGAAACTTGCAAGTCGTTAAAGTGAGTTGATTGATGACTGACAGACTTGAAGATTATACAATCATCACTTTTTGAAAAAAGAAAAGAATTTTTTGATCAGAAAACATGGCACTCAACTCAACATCAAGCTGAGAATAATCAATATGCCTGAGTAATTCCAGTTTTAACGTAAGCTTGTAAAGACTGAAAAATTAGAAATACATTTACAACAAACTAGTTGTCACAAGAAATAAATGTCAGGCCACATGCACCACATAACAAATGGAAAAAACAGAAGCCAAGCTTGACAGCCATCACTTTTAACTGATGTCATTAAAGAAATGAACTAGACAGGGTATATGAAATTATTAAATGGGGGAAGACCCAAATTTTCAACTGTAAGCTTAGAAGGGAAAGTGCCTTAGCATGACGAAAAAGATGGATTACAAGAGAATCTAAATACAACTTCTCTTCCTTATCAAACAGTCTCCCCTTCAACATGGAGTCTTTGTTACATCACATGTTCCATGCCCTAATCCAGTTACCATGTACCAACCTCCTCCAGTCCCCATGATAAAAAAATTAATATTTCAATAATGAATTACCAGCTTTTGGAGGGTACAAACAGATGGGGCAGTAAGGAGCTTCATGCACTGTTAATTTCTGCCAACGTGAATTGTTTTCAATAAAAAAACACATTTAATCATCTTAGAGTAATTATCATCATAAAAAAAACAACAACAAAAGCAACGTTATACAAGTGCCTATATAAAATTGTCAGCGTTAGTTCAATATCACGATCAAAATTCTGCACTTCATTAATGTTATTTTCATTTAAAACACAATTCAAATTTTTTTACCATAACAATTTCATCAGGAAAAACATTAAGTTACCCAAGCAATGAAAATAGTTTGGTATATAGATGTGATCAAGAAATAAGCTTGAATTAGAACGAACCACTTGTTGTATGAGCTCCCATTGAGCCAGTGCATCAGGGTCAACAGAGTGCACGCCATAATCACCATCGGACTTCACCACAAACTGACAACTGATAATTTTTTTCAACATATGATTAATTCTTCAATCACTTTAAATTTCAACTTAAAGACAATGCAATTATCATTTGATGAAAACAAAGGTGAGTGGGATCAATGACAACAAGGGTTAGATTTAAGTAATAAAGCAATACCAGTTTCATTTTGCGAAGTCAAACAGCAACAAACACTAGATATTTGATGCCACAGAATCTTCAGAAAAAAGTGTCAACTGATGTAAATTGAAAAAATATTTTAATCCAACTGCACATTCAGCGTTAGATGTCATTAGAAAAAGCAATGGTAGAAGGGGGATTGATAAAAATTGGTGAGCAGAAATGCATGCCTAAGTGCACGAGCAGGCAAGCAATCTCTTACTAATTATTATTTCTTAGAAGAAATAATAATTAAAATTAATAGAATAAATTAGGTATCATAATTGGAGAATAATAATTTAAAATTATATTTTGTGAAAACTTGTGTGTTTATTTTGAAACATTTAAAAGTTATACAATGATGAACGATAGAAAGCAATGCACAGACTTGGCCTGCAGAAATCTTTCCTTGTTGAAAAAGCCTTTTTTCTTATAGCATTGTGACTTGTTACTGCCACTTTTCTTGGAGTTGCCATAACGATAGTTGTCATGGTAACCACTGTATCCTTGTTTCCGTGAACTCCTGTGAGAATCATCATAATGAAAGTTGATCATGTGATTGAGGTTCCTGGCAGATGCTGATTTTCTGTTAAAGAATTCATCACCGCCACCACATGCACCCTCGTCTTGCACCTCTGCCTCATAAGTTATACCATCATCCACATTTGAAATATTGCTAACACTTTCAAATGCTGTTTTTTTCTGTCTCTGGATCAAGTAAGTAAATAAGCTAATTACCAAACCACTGTATTTGAAAGCCATTGATAAAAACACACACAAAAATAGAGCAAATATCACACATAGCAATAATAAAAAATCTAAAAAGAAAAGGAGAAATCGTGAGTGCAGGCCAGGCCAGGCCCACATCTCACATCCAGGTAATATAACCAAATAAAAATAATAACCCAGTTTAATATTAGATAGGGAAATTTATTTTAAAAGTAAAGTTTACCAGCTGAGTAGGTAGTTTACTTACTAGCATGGTTAATATTTAACATCACCACAAAATTAATAAACTGATCACCTCCTCTTTTTGGCAAGTTACATAATTTTTTGGCTGTCTCTGTTTATTGTCTTGAAATCTTCCTGAAAATCTGGACAAGTTATTTCTTTTGTTGCTTTCAAAATTTTGTGGTTGGCGACTTCCAAGGCTATCCCTTTTTGAAATCACATTGCTGTTCTTGTTAGAAGATGCATCTTAGTGAGAGAAAATTTAACATTTACCATTTAATATTTTAACAATATTATGATGTATAGCACTATATTAATATTAATACTGCATTAAAGTATTCTTTTACAAGCATAACATTATAAATGTGCATGAACACATTCGTTACATTTATGTTCTGTGTAACTGCTTGAACATTTATTTTGTTCATGGCCAGTGAAGGGACAGTATCTAGATTAGGTCAGCCATCTTATTTTCAATTTTATTATATTTTCCAGCCAAATCTAGTTCTTATTAAAAAGTCTTATCCAGTCTAGTCCTAAAACAATATGGCTGAGTTTTGCAAAAGAAAGGTGTTGATTTCAGAATTTCATGGCCTGTCTGACATGAAATCATAGAAGAATAAATGCTTTCAAATGATGAGCACTTTGATTTTGTAACATTATAATATAATTTGTAATTAAATAAGAAATTATGTAAATAAAATCAATAGATTAACTTGGTCACAAATCTGCAAGGCTAACTTTTATCATATGCATTTATCATTAGAAAACATTTATTCTTTTATGATTTTATCTGTCAGGCAGGCCATGAAGTTCTGAAATCAACACCTTTCGTTTACAAAACTCAGCCCCATTGTTTTAGGACTAGACTGGATAAGACTTTAACCACTTGTTTACAAAACTCTAGTAGTCTATATTTAGCTCCATTGTTTTCACTAACTTTTAAACAAAAATATGTTATAGAATTTTCATTTTACAGACTGAATTTGAAGTTGAGAAATGTTTAATTTTGTATTAAGAAAATATTCAACACCAGAAAGAGGAAAGGTCAATAAAAAAATAACACAACAATGCCTGTTATTGTGATCCATAATTAATTAATTAATTATTATTATATATGATAATATATTTATAACTTGAATAAAAAACAATGCAAATAAAAATAAAATACCACTTATTTTAGATGGGTTGGTTTGTCGTGAATACGCCAAAAACCTCTTGTCCATATTTTCCGGAGATGAGTTGTTTGGTTGTTGTATTGACATCCACTGAGTCGCTACTACTATTATTGTTATTGCTGTAATCAGAACAATCTACTGACCACCCTGTCAAACACCTGCTGCTGCTCTTTCTTAAGAAGATCAAGCCCTCCGCTATCTTAGCGTTAAACAAACAAATGAATCTTTTGTCGGAACGGTAACTCATGTTTAGCAAGCCATGTTCGCAAACTTCGAAATAAAATTAAACTGTTGTTGCAGCTTCAACCAACAGACTGTGCAGTAGTAAAATGAGAAAGAAGACGGAAATCGATAATGTAATTAAAGCTTGATGGCAGCGATTGAGGCCAACGATTGTGCGCCTCGTAATCACAGAGTTGCGAGCGAGATTAGGAGCGGACACTATCCAGGATGGGTCGACGTCAGCCGACTTTTCACTTCCGACGAGATCTTCAAAATGGCTGCTTCAAAAACAAATTCTTGTTTGGATGCCACTGCGCAATCTCTTCAATTCAAGAGTTGGATGGTGAGAAGGAAAAAGTTTAAAATATTATTTCGAATAAATTAAAATTATTTTTCGTTTAAAAATTGTTGCGATAAAGATGTAAAAATATAACTATAATCCGTAATAAATAAATGAATATATATGTATATATATATATATATATATACGTTGTATATAAACAATTTCTTATTTTAACGACATTCAGCAAACAAATTCTTATTTAATGAAGGAGTGCTAGTCGAAACATTAATGAAAATTTGGTTTTTTATTTACATATATATTAGTATACATAAATGTATAGCTTATACTATATATATATATATATATATATATATATATATATATATATATATATATTATAAATGTCATATATGCATACACAAATACATGCATACACACATACATACACACACGCACACACATAAATAAATAAATAAATACATGCATACATACATAAATACATGGTTAGAGACGAACACGTATTTAACAAGCATTGAAATAAACGCAAAAATGCTCAAACAATTATTACTTATAGTTTTGTTCGACAAACAAAATTAACTGAATAAATTGGATTGAAAAATAAATGAATCTATTTATTCTGAGTAAATTATTTAACTTAACAAATAATCATTGTTTTATATAGGTACGATGTATATTCGAACAGTATCTCAAAATTGAAAAACGTTGATGATAAATAATCATATATAATATTTATAAATGTTGTTATTATTCTTTCTCCTTGGATCATCCACATTCATCATCGAGTCACAAGAAGTTTTCAATCACTCGGCACCACAAAACTGGACGTTAGTTCTCAATGGGCACCTGAAAAACAGTTCCTTCAAAATAGGAGTTCCTTCTAGTAAGAATGATGCTACGGCAAGAAAACAACGACATCTTACCGACGACAACATTTTCTCGCCGCTTTCAAGTTTACAGAAACACGTGTCACGTGATAGCACTTCACCGCATACAATCGATAATGTTCAGAATGTTCAGTTTGTTGGAAAACATTATGACAATAATAGCAAAAACGAAGAAAAGACTAACAAAAAAAATGCTGAAACCAAATATAATACACCCTCCAAGCAAGTGCTGAAAAACATGCCTGCAGCACCTAAGTCGTTTTTAGAGGTTAGTCAGAGGACTGATATGATGCATTCATTAGCTCTCTGTTGACTGACAACTATTTTTGAATCGACGTTAAATCGATATTTAACTTAAATTTGTAAACCAAGGAATAATCATTCCATTAATTTTGTAAAAAATAATTTATTTATAAAATTAATAAAATAATATATATATATATATATCATCCAATATTGGATATATATATATATCATCCATCATATATATTATATATATATATATATATATATATATATATATGTTGGTAATAGACCATAATTTTTACAATATTCTATAAATTCTACCGAGTGTTTGGCGTTAATATGTTTGTAGTTCGTTTTTTCAATTTTTGTCACTAAAGTTTTTTGGTGAACGTTTAGTTTATTAAAATTCAAAATAAACTTATTTTCCGAATTCATGCTGCAAATAAGGCCATATTTCGATTCCGAATGAATCATCATCAGTGCTTTCTGCTGTTTATATAGGGAAATATTGACTTTGTGAAAATGAATTTAGATAAAGATTGACTTTGTCAAAGTGAACTTAGATGGAAATTAGGTGTCAGGTTTCTTTATTGACTGGTCATCTTCTTTGGTCTCCTTTTCTTCATCGATAGCATCATATTCTTCTTTGTCACTATTTACAATGCTAGTTTTTATTACTTTTTTGTTTTCGTTGTTGGTTAAGCGCCGGGTTGGAAGTGAGGTTGTCATTTTTTGTTGTATATTTATTTTTGGTTTATTGATGTCAATTAGGATTGCTTCTGCAATTTTAAGTTGCGTGTAGTTGCTGTTCTGGTATATTACTTTGGTGTTACTGTCGAAGATTTCACGGCTAATTGTGATTAAGTGTGTTGAGTCCAAATGAGATTTGATAGCACCACTCTGTTTATGCATCGTAAGCCTTCTAGTCAATGAGGTAGTAGGCTTACGATCGGCCCGTAAGCCTACCTTTATGATGAATTTTGATAACAACAATTTATTAAATTTTTATGATGAACTTAGATAATAATTCTATTTTCAATAAATTGAACAATTTTCAGAAAATTTTAGTAAAGGAAATTGAAAAGGCAAACTTTAAATTGATTATGCCAACAATTTGGTAGAATTCATACAATACTTTTTAAAATATGTTTTTTTTAAAATACACACACATACACAAGTATATACAATTATTATTATTATTATTAGATAATTTATATAGCGCCCTTTAATGCAACTCAAAGGCGCTGCTTTCGTCTGGTGGAATCATCGGGAAAAAAAACGTCTTCAAATCTTCTGAATAATTAAACCAGGTTGACGGAGGCTGTATGGTAGTGAGTTCCAAACTTGTGGACCAGCAACGACAAAATTCCTTTTGGCCACCATCAAATCTGTTTTTGGCACCGATAAAAATAACTGATCATCTGAGCGTAATTGCAAGTGATGAATAGTTTTCGTTTTGTATAAACACCTTCCGGACAAGTAACTTGGGCTTAAACCATTTAAACATTTGAAAACCATAACGGCAAGATTGAAGATGATTCTTTTTTTAACTGTGAGTCAATGGAAATTTCGTAGAGCATTACTGACATGGTCGTATTTTAACCCTCCAGAAACGATCTGAGCAGCATGATTTTGAGTTGACTGAAGTGGAGACGATTAAACAATTGATTTGATTTGAAACTCCTGATGCAGTAATCTAATTTTGAGTGAATGAATGCGTGAACCAAACATTTCAAGATGTCGTTATTGACTGATTTTTTTTATTTGTCTGAGTTTGCGAAAATAATAGGAAAAACATTGGCCTTGTACAATATTAACAAAAGAGGCCCTAATATATATATATATATATATATATATATATATATATATAAACAATATAAATAAACAATATATATTTATATATATATACAATATATATATATATATATATATATATATATATATGTATATATACAATATAATAAAACTTTGGAATAATACTTGAAACAGGAACCAGCTTTTTTAGGATTGGCGACTTTTGTGTTGTTTGGTCTGATGATATGCGCCATTGCAATCATTTTGAAATGGATGGATGTAGATTGTTGCTCAGCATTCGCTGATATCTTCATTGATGGTTCGCCTCTTTCGTTCATTCATTCATTTCTTTATTCATTCATTCGTTCGTTCATTCATTTATTCAGTTTATTTCATTAACTCATTCAGTCTCTTTTTCATACATTTATATTTGTTTCGTTTGTTCAATACACTCACTTTTGTCTAAATAAATATGTCTTTATGTGACATTTTACTTTGGTTGATTTTTATTTGTATGATTTTATACACTAAATTGAGCGGAATGTTCGTTTCTGTTATGCAACAAAAATGAAAAAAAAACTAATAACCTATAAAGGCACGTTACTGCCAATGCCCAAGATTTTTGTTGTTAAGTGGTCTTAGTAAACAGCATGAGAGCATTTATTATATAATCGGTACGTGAAAGTAGACGCAGTAGCAACATAGACAAGAACTCTGTTCATGTCTGCGACCCTCGTGGATGGTTTATGTTATGCATTGTAAGGTTTTGAAGAAAATATTTTTATTATGAAAATTTTTGATTATCTAATTAGAATTTTGTAATATCTTCTCAATTACTGTTTCATGCGTAAACCAAAACCAAATAGAGACTATTTTAGACAGTTTGATTCGCATCTATAATTTACTTATAGTTAAATGGACAGTTGCAAATCATTCATTCACACATTTGAAAGCAGCATGCACATTGAACGACAGATTCGGACGATCATCACTCGAACGTGGGAAGGTTGCACGACGACCCCTACCTGCACCGCATCATGATACCCCGCTACGACGATCTGCCCCCCAGTTACGATCAGGTCGTTCGCGACAGGACCACGCTGAACAAGTCCCAACAAACCAGCAGGATCGAAGACAGCGATGACAATGCAGTGACGGGAAGAAATAATTTGCGGCTAGACGCCACACACACGCATCGCGCTTTGCCTTCAAATTGTGACGTGCCAAGAGAAGAGAGCACGGGAGAAAGAAGAACAAAAAGCCAGCACGTTCACAATAGCAACGACGCTCCTCTTTCTAGCATCAACGGGAACAAAAATGATGAAAAGTTGATCAATTCAAAAAGAGGGACATTTTCTAACAAAATTTGGAAACATATGACCAAGTCCAAGTATGTTTATTCTGACGACGTAAGATCTACTTGATAATATGTATTTAAAAACATTGCTGCATACTAACGAAATTACGATCCTTCATATTAGCTTCAACAGAAATATTATTCTGTAACCACTATTTAAATTATTCGGTCACATCTTTTTTATATCACCTATGTTAAAATATTCAGATACTTCGTTTATTTAATGAACGTTCGATATGTATTTGATTCAGGCATGATGCGTACAAAATAGGCGAAAATAGTGACGTTTCGACTTTCAACAACTTCGGAAAAAACAGTAATGGCGCAAAGAACACGAACGACGACGACCTCAACAACTGCAGTTTCCATGGTTACGCCACCAATGAAGGTGCCTGTTTGAAAGATATTAGTAACGACCACACCATAGTTAACACGCACCAAGCAAATTTAGACCACACTGAAAAAACAAAAAGTAAACCTGAAAAAATTTTTGAAAAACGAAAACTAAAACCTGGGCAACCCAAACACGAGCATAAACAGCAAGATGGCCGGCAAAAACATCTTCAGCAACAAATGCAACCAATACTTCAATCGTTGGACATTTCGTCTCACACTGTCATCTGCTCGACTCCCCAATTTGTTAATTTAGGGTTCTTGCCACAAAATCAACCACTTCACCATTACGAGAGCCATTCACAATCCAAACAAGAACATCAGCACAAACATCAAGCTTCACAATTTGAACACACCGATATTGTACTCATTGATAAAAAAGCATGCACCGTGGTTGAGGGCGATCACGACGAGACAAAATTTACCGATGCTGCTCTGTTCACGACGATGAGCACACCAATAACTGCGGACAACGACTTGTCATTCCTCAGCAGGGGTTCCAACTGTCATTTCTCCACTCCATCTCGAGATTGCGCAATGAACACAATCTACATCGATGACACTAAAGCAGTTTTTTCCACACCGCTAACCAGCCTCACCTCTTTCAAAGTAGGTTCTTATTTAATACGATGTATCAATGTATTATATAGATCAGTGTTTCTCATAGTGAGCGATAGTCTTACTGGGGGGGTGGTGACAGGTTTTGACAAAATTTGAGAACTTTAGAAGTTTTATGTTTATGTATTGATTATTTTTTGTTGGGATTACGAAAATCATATTTTTGAACCAATTAAAATCTTTTTCCATGCTAACCTGGCGGATAGCCATCAACGTTATTGTCTATATGTAAATAAAGCTCAAAATCTTCCAGACGCAAGAAATGTATTTGTCTACAGAAGCAAATCCATTTGTTGTACCCTGGGTTGTAGTCAATTGTTTAACCATTTTTGCTTGAATTTCCATCATCGTATTTGTGCGAACGTGGATTAAGTGCTGTGACAACGCTGTAAATAAAAAAAAATTAACTTGGATGTTAATAAACTTGGAGATTTAAGATTGTTTTAAGTAAATTTGCGCCTGATATTAACAGTCTTATATAAAATCATCAAATTAACCCATCACATCAAATTCATTTATGTTCAATTGCTTGTTCGTTTTAACTTGGATTTAAAAATACTTTTTTTTGTAAAACCGTATTTTATTGTTTTTTTTTAAAACTTTAATAAGCAATTATATATTATATTTATATATATATATATATTATTATTATTATTATTATAATAAACATCAACTTACTAAGGGCACTAGAAAATTTGTTTTCCTAAAAGTGGGCGTTGGAAGAAATAAGTTTGAGAACCACTGATATAGATGTTTAACTTATTTGAATAAATAACAGTAAAAAAGATGAAGTAATGAAATTATTTTGTTGCCAACATTAAAGGTTGGTGCAAACAATTTGGAACAATGGCAGACTCACGCAGACTCAAATGTTAACCAGCCTCTCCAACAAACAACGACGAATAAGTCGAAATTTAAAAAAATCGCCTTTTCCTCGCGCGATAATATTGTAAGAATCGACGAAGAACACAACCCATTGCAAAACTGCAACGGCACCAACAACAATTGGAAGGAAAACGCAACTGCGCCGAAAGTCCTAAGTGCAACCTGCGATCAGCAAGTGGAAAATGTTGAATCAATCCACTACAAACACAATTTAATCATTGGTGTAAAAAACCTTAAACAAAATAATGGAAACAGATTCAACAATGACATCGGCGTTTATAACAACTGTAACATAGATAACGACATATGCAACAATATAAACGACCGCAAAAGCAACAACAACAACAACAGCAATGCTGACAACACAAGCCACAAAAAATCTGTTAAAAGCTTATTTATGAATATTAAAAAGAAAGAAACGCTCAAAAGGTTGGGCCGAGCCACAATTTACAATCCCCCAATAGACAATCCTTCAAATTATTATAACGAATTTTGTCCCGACAACAACGTTGATAATCGTCCAAACTGTCATCCTCACAAGTTTCACAAAGGAATTTCGCATATTTCAATCTTTAAAAAATAAAAATGCAACAAGTTCAAATATAATAATTTCTATATTTAAGTAAACTCCGCAAATAATTTCATTGCTATTTCACGTTTATTTTTGGTAAATATTTTTGTTGCATACACTAAAAGTTAATTTTATTACGTGTTTTACTCAACGGTTTTTTCATTTCCAAAAATACGATTCTACCAACGAGCGAACGAACAAACGAAACAATAATATCTATAATTGTTACACTGCACGTAAACTGCAGCAGGTAGAATTTGCTGGCAGCGTGCTTTCCGTTGGTGATTGATGAAAATTTTGATGAAAAATAATTTTTTCAATTAAGCTTGACCGTTATAAACGTATAACATATAAGCATACTTATCATAGCCATGCTTATGTTGTTGTACTAGTAGTGCCCTATCGTATTCTTCTTACAACTTTTATTGTAAAATGGAGCAGCAATGACGTCACACATCCATTATCAATTGAAATTAAAACAGAGACACTCCAAACAGAAGCAGTATGTGATCAAGTGATTGGTGAGAGCAGAAATATAAAAGTTATATACAGTATCGCAACACAAACGCTCTCAAGTCAACGTTTGGGCCATGTGTTATACTTCGATTCCTACACCTAATTTAATGACCACAACATTTGGAGTGTTAATTATTTTTAGTTCAAAAAATGTTTACATGAAATATGTCATATTGCAATATTTGGTATATATGGTGTTATATAACATGAATTTATCTTTATTTTAAAAAATTAAGAATAGTATATATGATACATTATATAATTTTTCTTTATATATGTAGAAATATATCTTTATGTTATTTCAGATAAAATAAATACATGCCAAAACATAAAATACTTAAGATTTTAAAATTTAGCTTCTTTTTTGCATTTCTAGTTCGGTTTCTTCTCACTCTGTCATTAACTTTTGAGTTTACTTTTAACTGCAGTATTTACAATTCTTTGATTGTATACTTCCTTTTGAAATTAGAATTTGTTGAAAATGGTTGGTTGTGTCACTCCGATTTTTAATCCAAATAATTTTCTCACAATCGTTTGAATTTACGATAAATTTAAACCATTTTAAATCGTATGTGTAGTTATTTGATTGCTTTTTATTTATATTTTCAATTTAATTTAATTTTCGTTGTTTTTTGTTTTCCCCTCAATAAATTAGGTGAACGTCCCTAAACAGAGAAAAACTTTTTGCCGAGGCAAAAAGTGTCGCAAGCACACTCTTCATAAGGTGACACAGTACAAAAAGGGAAAAGATTCATTGTTTGCTCAAGGTTCACAATTTAATTTTCTTTCTTTTGACTGTCGAAATATTTTGCCATTTATCATTTAATTGTTTTTTTTTATGGTAAATTAAATTTATTTTATAAAAATATAAACTTTATCAAAACATGTGGCAAAGCATAAGACAGGTTCTCTCACGCAAGAGTCCAAAAATTTAGGGCAGTTATTTTTTATTATTTATTTCAATTTTGTTGCCTGTTCATATCATTGCTGTTCTCTGAACCAAATACATAATCAATAGGAGTAAGGCAGTAAGCAAACTGTTTAGTAGTCTGGCAATCTTGTTTACATATTTTGATGTAGGCGACTTAAAAAAGGTGATTTTTTTTATTCCATTCAATTTGCTCAAAAAAGATCTGGTTATGGTCAGAGCTATAACATGTGCTAATTGCATGACAAATTTGACAATGAGATTCTATAAGGCCTGAGAAGACTGCATGACAAATCAGCGTTGAGATGCTATACTATAAGTATAAGGCATGATAGCCGTGCAACAAATTGTAGATATTTAGATGAAATAAAATAAATCGTAAAAATTGTGACATTATTAGATGATCAAATTAAAGGCCTGAGAACTGCACAACAAATTTGATGTTGAGATGCTATAAGACAAAAAACCTCATATCAACGACATGCTCATGCAATATAATGCATGGCGTTCTGATGATACAGTGTGGGAAAACTCAAAACTGCAATAAAGTCAACATTATCAATGGCATGAACTATAATAATCCGATGATCACTTGACTTTCTGATTATACAAGGCATGAGAATTGCACTAGTTGGAAGGTCTTCATCATCTGCTTTAGGTGTTTGTTCATCATTATAATTTTAGAAGCAGTGTTATTTAATTTGCTGGCAATATCAAGGCTTTGCTACACTTGGAGTTCTGACCAGATGACTACAGCCATTCAGTTTATAGCTTTCCTGTGCTAATTTTTTAAATAATTGATGTGTTTATTAAAATTAGTTTTTGATTGTTTTAGGTAAAAGGCGTTACGATCGAAAACAGTCAGGATATGGTGGTCAAACAAAACCTATTTTCCACAAAAAGGTTTTTTGATCATTTACAAATTAGAAAGATGTGTTTCTGTCAAATGTGTCACTTTTTTGGTCTTGGACATCTGCCCTCCTTAGTTTGGTTCCCCCAATAACCATTTAAAAGTTTCTTTGCACAAAGTACTCTAACAATCAGCTTTTGGGTCATTTACTTCATGTGTGTTTCCTCCTATGTATGCACGAGATATGCATTCATACATGCAGCGAAGCTATTTTCTGAACATACAGATGTGAGCCTCTGAGGGCTGTTTGTTTACATTTGCATGGAAGTGCACCATGCATATATATCAAAATATTTTATTTGGATGCATCTTGCCATTTACATTTACTTGAAAATGTAACCACTGCATTATTTGTTACCTGCTGCCTATCTGTGTGGGTAATAAATCTTTGTTGCATTCACTACCTGTTCATCTGGCTTATGAACAATTTCAATATTCATATTCTGAAAATGAACTTATGATTTTTTTTACCTTAGGCTAAAACAACAAAGAAGATAGTGTTGAAGATGGAATGCACTGAATGCAAGTACAGAAAACAACTTGCGATCAAGAGGTGCAAACATTTTGAATTGGGTGGTGACAAGAAGAAAAAGGTTTGTTATTTTTCTTTCTTCAATTACTATTTCACTTGAAAGTTTTTCGTCTTTTTATATACATATACATATGCATGGCTTTGTTGTGTTTGTGTATGACTTCTGAGCATTAGTAGGAATGTAATATACTGGTGTGGTGTGATGTGATTTTAACGCTGTTTAATGTTAAAATTTATTTCAATTTTTCAGGGCCAGATGATCCAGTTTTAAGTGAAGCTCCAATTGATTTTTTTCCAGTAATGAACGTTTTTATACGATTGAATTTTCATCAGTTGATAATTAAATGTTGCGTTATGGAGTTTTGTTTCTATTCCAAAATTATGTTTGAGGCATACACCCATTAAATGTACAAATAGAATATGCCGTGGATGTTTGTTGCTCTGTTAACTCTGTCGTCGCTGTTTCAAGTGAGCCCATAATGACTCACATTGTACAGCTTTGAAGGTTGGAATGCTATGTCCTGCTTCGACATCTTAGCAGCTGCATGAGATGTGCAACTGGAAGCCCCCGAATGGAGGGCGTGGTTTTGATGTGCTCCCATTCGTTCGATACTTGCTGGCCTTCATCCTGTGCTTCTAGTAGTGACGTCTCACTTTGGTTGGAGTTGAAAACGTGCTGTAGTTATGTACTGAGTAGCCGCGTGGCTACTCGCCACTGGTAGCCTCGGAAATGCCGTAAACTCAATGAATTATTAACACGAATTGACATTAATTTTGATTGAAAACTATCTCAGCCCCACACTTCCACCACAGTGACAACATTTTCATTTTTTGTGCGGAAACCTTGATGTTACTAAGTAATACAAGAGATCGCCAACTTTTTATTACTAAATTGAAGCCTCGTAATGCCAAAATTTTGAATGCAATTGTTAACAGCATTCATTTGAGCTTTATATGCCATATTGTCGACTTCCTCATCTTACTCGTCAGAAGATATTTCCATGTCAGAGTCATCCTGAACACAAATTTTTCGTCTTTTCATCGTTGTCTAGCAATCTGTTTGCAAAATTTCTGAGTTTACATCGTACTGGTTATATACAGTTTCTAATTCGCTTCTTAAGAAATAAATAACAAAAGTTCTTAGCAAAATATATTTTGCTGCTCAAATCAACTTTTCATTTGTTGATTCACTTCATCCAAAACAATTAAAAATTCATTTTTAATTTATTAAGCCCAATCAATTGTAACTGCAACGTTCATCAGAAATATTCTTTTCGGCACGGCGCCTTTCTAATTCCGACTCACTGAATCAGCATTTCTTCTAATGACGTCAAATTGATGAAAGCAGTTTTTTATCGATTTCGTTGCTGAAGTAATGTCAACAGATATACTCTGCACGCTTTGGATAAAAGACCATAACATTAAAATCCAATTTTAAAATTTTCGTGCTAATTATAATACGATTTTTTTTAATTCTCTTACGAAGTTAAAGTGTAACAGTAACTGTTCCACTTTCACTTGATAATGATTCGGCCAACTCAGATGGACTTGCTAATATTTTTTTTTAAATGTTTAGGCATGAGCGCGAGGTAAAATAAGTATATAAAAAATGAGTTTAAATTGTTTAAAATACTTGATTCGTTCTCTTGAAATTTGATTTCAGCGGAAAAATTTCCCTAGCTTAAAAGAGAGGTACCTAATTGTTTCTTCCCACTGTAAAGTCCCCGCGTTGGATTGATTCGTTTTTTTAAAGTTTATTGAGTCCCGACAAATATAATTGATGTAAAATCAGTGTCATTCCGGATGGTAACACGTCCATGTTATGGAATTGCACCGCATCGCAACTGCGGTGTGAATTTAGAGGGGCCATTTTTAAATAGGAAAATTGACAAAATGTTGTGCGATAAGCAAAAACAAGTTGCCAACCAATTATGGCCACCTCAGTAAATTTTCAGTTTTTGGTTTTAGTCCCCTTCGTCAAAGTTCTTCGAATCCGACCTTGATGATATTTGATGCTGCCATGTGCCGTGTTGCCATATTTTCTTCACCAAAGTTGTTCTTTAGACATCTATAATTTATTTTAACAAGGGATGGCAAACTATTTGATTTGCTTACTTGAATCTTTTTAGTAACCTCGGTTTTCTTTATTCGTTGAAGATTATCAACATGTTAATGGCGATAGCGATTGTCTTATTTAGAGCGATTCACACTCGTACTATTTTGTCGATGTTTATACTTTCTTTTTTCTTATTTATGCTCGATGTTCCGAAGTTGCCAGCGAAAAGTAAACAGTACTGAAGTTAGTCAATTTAAGTTAATAGTTGAATTTGTTTTTGATTGAATAAATTATAAAGCAATAAACGTACCGAATTCTTTTTTTTGCATCGTACCGTTTTAAATCAAGTTTTTATGTTGGGATCATTCTTAACGTTTTTCATCCTCTCGTTGAATCTTGGCTTGTCTCTGAAGTGTCTTCATATATACGATGGATACAAGTTTGAAGACTGCCAAGATGCTCTCTACTGTCTCAAAGTGGTCAACTTTTTGAGTATGATTTGGTTATCTGTTTATAAAAAATTTTAAAAAGTAGATTTGGTTGTTCAGTGTTAATTTGGTGGAAACTTACTGCAATCGAGAACAGTAATGTTTCCGAGTTATTTTCTTCAGGAACAAGTTCCAAAAAATAAATTTGAAAGTTAGTACATAATGAGCGAGTATCTTATAAGTTGGAGTTTTAAGGAATCTTCTAGGCTTATTGATATTAAAATTTAAATGAAGTTCTGAAATTTTACTACCACAGCGGAACATTTGCAGAGAATAAAGATACGAACATGTAACTGGTACCTACACGGCGTCAACTGCAGCTACCACAACTGCCACCGTTGCGACGACAGAAATTTCTGCAACACTTCCACACGCGTCACTATCCCTCTCACTCGATATCTTCATTCATCTCTCTCTTTCTTGCTGGTTGGAAGTTTCTTAATAGTAAAGATGTTTTGAAGAGTATAAACAAATTTTACATTTAAAACTTTTTTAATTTTGTCATAATTTAATTAGCAATTTTATATTTACATTTTGCAGCTGCTTTAAAATTGAGTCTGAAAATTTTACTAGAAACAAACAAATGTTATCTGTTTTTTCAATATTCAAACCATTAGCGTTAGCTGAAGTATGTTTATCCGTCTTATTCAACCATTAGAAGTTACAACCAAATTAAAATAAATAAATGAATGTATAAATAATTAAAAATAAATAAATAACACTAAATAATAAATAACAATAATTAATAAATTGGGCCAGGCAGCATAATGTCGTAATGGTTAAAAGCGTCTGCTCCCTACTGCTCTGCGGTCACCTGCTTCGAACGAATGCCAACTAATTCAAGCCTATTATAGGCTGTGTGTGTGTGTGTGTGTGTGTGTGTGTGTGTGTTGTTATCTCTAAATAGAAAGCAAATCGTTGTCAAAAACATTTTCTAGTATAGACAGATGATTATCATTCCTCAAGTGGTTTTGTTTCCTTGCATCCCCGTCGCCTCAGTTGTCATTCAGTTTTTTAACTGTACAAATATACATACACACACACATACACACACACATACACACACACATACACACACACATACACACACACATACACACACACATACAGACACACACATACAGACACACACTTTCTGTCTCTCCTACATGCACTTACACAAATGACGTCATTACATACATATGTTTTTACAAAACAAGTGTGCTGTGTTGAAAGCTATTTGTTGGCAGTAGGAGGAGAGGAATCGCGGAGCATCTGCTGGAGTTTCTTGATGTACAGGATGGCGTATCTCAGTGTTTCCACCTTGCTCACTCGTTTCTCCGATTTGAATTCCAGGGGTAGTCTGTGTTAATGTGATGTGATGAAAACAATGAGGATGATGTCCCCATTGTTATTGTAACCCAGAACAACACCACACGAGACATTGTTCGTTCAAAGTTACCTTCTTTATTACCAACACGACTTGATGACATTTGCATAATGAAATAATTATATACATATATATATATATATAAGATATATATATATATATAAATAGAGATATATATATATATATATATAGTATATAAGATATATATAAATTGAGTTATATATATGGTATATAAGATATATATAAATTGAGTTATATATATGGTATATACGATATATATAAATAGAGTTATATATATATAGTATATAAGATATATATAAATAGAGTTATATACATAGTATATAAGATATATATAGAGTTATATATATACATATACATACATATATATATAATTCTATATATGTGGACTGAACATTTTGAAATATTGCCTGGATGGCGAACCTTTCTCGAAGTTCGGCGTACCCCTCGTTCACGCACCTCACTCTCTCTCTTTCTCTCTCATTTCTCTTGTGGACGAACCTGCTGGCTGTTTGTGTGATGGAGTGATGGAGACTGAAAGTGAGATGTGAAGAACTGTGAGGGGATGTTGTTGTTTGTTTGTGGGCTTGCAATCTGATTACATCAATGTTGATGTTTTTGTTGGTGTTAATTTCATTGATGATGTTGATGTTAGCGTTGCTGTTAGTGGTAGCGTTGTTGATGTTGTTGTTGATGTTGTTGTTGATGTTGTTGTTGACAATAAAGCTGCAGTTGATAATGTTGTTGTTGTTGTTGGTGACAAGGCGGTTAACGCTGTTAATGTTGTTGATGCTGTTGTTGTTGATGTTGTTGCTCTTTATCTTGTTATTGTTGTTGTTGTAAATAAATTGATCATCTTTATTGTTGTTGTTGTTGTGGTTAGTGTTGGTATTATTACTATAAAAATTATAATTGTTGTTGTCTATGTTGTTGTGGTGATATATTCCATTGTAATATTTATTTGAAGAAAAATGTTCACATGTGCAAAGATCAAAATGTCTTCTGTGAGTGGTGCTAAGACGACACGATGCTTCCACATCGTCTGCTGGCGCAGTCACTGCCATCAATTCGATCGGAGTTGGAGTGTTGTGGCTGGGGTGGTGGAAATTTAAGAAGTTGTACTTGGTTGTATTTCTGTTATGGTTTGTTACATCGTTGTTGATGTTGTGGCTGATGTTGTTGTTGATGTTGTTGATGCAGTTGTATTTGTAGGCAGACAAGTTGTAGGTTGAATGCGACGATGTTACGTTCGAACAGCAAAGACGTGAATGAGAATCAGGGCTAAAGAAGGAGAAATAATCATTCATGGTGGGATCTGTTGCTGTTGTTGTTGTTGAAAGGTGTTGTTGGTGGTTTATGTGGTCGCTGCTATCATCGTCGTCGTCGTTGTTGTTGTTGTTGTGAATGCTTATTTTGTTGGCGTTGTGTGAGTTGTTTGGGGTGGGGCTGCTGTTGAGCATTTCGCTTCAGTGCTGCATCTCTGTGAGGTTTTCGTCAGGTGAGCAAAAGATTTTGTTTATTTCAACATTGCTGCCATTGTCGTTAATGATGATGTTGTTGTTAATGTTGTTGATGATGATGATGTTGTTGTTGTTGTTGTCCAAGTATTCCTATCAAATATTGAGTTAATTAAAATTATTATCTTAGCTGACTTAACTTTCACTCAAGTTAATTTTTAAAAGTGCAAGCAATTAAAAATACACCAAGAAACAACGAGAAAAATATTTTTTTTTTCATTCCCGACCGACAAAGGTTTCAAAAAACACCTTTCACTGCCAACAAAACTTTGAAACTAATTATCATATACTTATAATTATTTATATCTCCTTACAGCGACATTATTTACATCATCATACAACTACTACATCACACGTATTACCACACAACTAATTGTACACACGATGCACTTACATCTGCCAGGCAGATACTTTTACATCATCATAAAATTACATTATATACATTATACAATTACAATTATTAAATGGGTGTGGGTGATCAGATGGGGGTGGGTGATCAGAGGAGGTGGGTGATCAAATGTGGGGTGGGTGATCAGAGGGGGGTGGGTGATCGGATCGGGGTTGAGTGATCAGAGGGGGTGTAATCAGATGGGTGTTTCAACGTTCAACTCACCTGCAGTCACAACATGTGCCCGGTTTGCTTGTTTCTTGAGTTGAGTCAGTTGCTTCATTATATGTTCATTTCATTTTATTGCATTTCTTTGAAAAGAATGGAAAAAATTAATAAGATTATTGAACAATTATGTTATTAACATCTCGTAATTATAATGTGTGCTATATTAAATGTTGAAATTATATTACAGCTGAAGTATTATTTTAATATAATTGTGATATAAATATAATAAAATAAATGTGTGTGTTGTGGGTACATCTAAGAACTAATTAAAAAACAATTGATAACAAAAAATAGTAAAGAACAATAATAATAATAATAATAACAACAATAAACAAAGTATAAAATCTAAAAAGAGTCTGACTTTCCATTGTCGCTCGGTTGCACGTTGTTGCAATGTTCCTCCGCCTGACTTCGTTAACAAAGTTTAAAACAAAATAAGGAGCATCAAAAGTTAACGAGGACAATAACTCGAAGGTGTGATGTGAAAAATTGTTTTTTTTTCGTTACGAATAATTGAAGCTTGTAGAAAATGTTATAATATATTCTTTTGAGGGTTATTTCAGAGATATAGACGAACGAGAATCAACACATGAACATGATGTTGCTACGTTCTGTGACGTCCACAAATGCTGGAACCGAGAACTTTCCAGAAATTCGCAGTTATATTTGAAATTATCTATGATGCATCTTGTCGCACGATGATTGGCTGCGAGAACTTTGATGCCGACCAATCAGATTTATCATTTAAATATATTTTATGTGATTATAAAAGAAGCATTTAATTGCAACTTTTAATAATAGTAATAATATAATAATAATATTAATATAATTAGTAATATTTTTTATTATCAAATCTCTCTTAATTGAATCTCAGAAGTATCAACAACACTCACAAACAGTGCATATGAATCCACGTACATCCGAGACTTTGCAGGCGATTGCATTCGAATCCGGTCCTTGCAGCGACACACAAATAAGCAGGCAGGCAGGATGTTTTAAACATTGAAACAGTTCAATACATCTTTTATTACTTTAAGTATTCGATTCCAGTTGAATGTGACAAATCTACTGAAGAAAAAAAAGAGAACCGTCCATAGAATGGAGGAGGAAGCTTTCACCTCAAAGAGAGGGGAATTATTTATTAATGTTTATTATTTCCATTTAATTACTTGATGGAGAAATTTTTGTGGCCATCAAAAGATTAAAGAAAAAACCATTTGTTACCAATAACATTAACGGGTTCACCCTTTTTATTATATATAGAAAATTCTAAATGAACTAAAAAAATTTACCCGAAGAAAGATTTTTGCTTTCCTACATTCAAGGGGAATTGAGGGCTACAGTGACGAAATGATAACCATAGGTGTAGCCAAGGTGAGTCTTTGAAATAAAATTCCTCCACATTAATGGCTTTGTTAAGGTTGTAGTTGAATTTAACGATATCTTAATGTAAACTTTATGCATTTCAACTTCAAACAGCCCCTCAAAACCAGAAATATTTTGCCAGATACAAATACACGTTTTGTTAGGTAGATCATGAAGAAATATGAAAAAACGAAAAAAATAGATAAACCATCTATAAAAATTTTGAGCCTCCACACAGAAATTTTCGGGCTGCAAAACAAACAAACAAACAGACAGACAGACAGAAAAACATACAAACAAAAAAATAACATACAACTGAATTACATGAAAATATTTAGAAAAGTTGCCACAATTAATTTGAACTTTCTCTTTTAATGTAACATTTATATACGTCAATCTATGTGAACATCTTGAATTGGATCCTGGCAAACAACGGACGCGCGCGCGCACACACACATACACAAACACACAAACACATACACACACCCACACAAGCACACACACATACACACACACACATATATTTATATAATTTATATATAATTAATTTATCTATCTATTTTTATTTATACATGCATTTGTTTTTTGTGTTTGTGTCGATGTATGTCAGATGAACTTTCAAATATGATGATAAGTGCGCAAATATTAAGACCGTAGGCCTGTCACAGTTGAAGGAAATTAATCTGATTATACACACATACACACACACACACACACACACACACAAAACGCGCACACACACACATACACACACACACACACACACTTTTAAAACATTTGTTGATCGCGGAGAAAAAAAAGAATAAATGCAAACATTTGAAACATTTGTTCATGTTTTCACTCACTTGTTCATTAACTAATTCATTCATTTATTCATTAATTCATTCATTAATTTGTTCGTTCGTTCGTTCGTTCATTCATTCATTCATCCATTAACAATTATTAATTTTCATTCTCCTACGATCATCTTCATTACATCTGGCCCATACACCTTCATCTCAAGTTGTACAACATCCACATCACGACAACAACCACATTAATTGGAAGCCATCACCATCATCATCAGCATCACCGATTCTGAATGCAACTGCAGACATAGGAAATCATTTCTTTGTTCATCTTCAATTTTTCATTAACAATTGCACAATTGGAACGCGAGGAAATGATTATCCTTACACTTACACACATTATTCGCGTTGTTGTACTGATGGCTGAAGCTAAACCGCTTCTCATTGAAGTTACATTCAATTCAATTCGTAGTGCTGCAGTGGGATAGGAAGTTTCGTCTCTTCCAGACATAAATGGAAAGAAATCCTTCATTAGGTACACCCTAAGATAAGGAGGAATGGTATTTCAAGAGTTGTAAAAATTTATAAATTAATAAAAATAGCATAAGATATTTATCGAGACTCAAATGAAATGGACAAGCTAGATAAATGGAATATGAAGAAAGCAAAGGAACAAACGAACGAACGAAAAAACAAACGAACAAACAAACGAACGAACAAACAAACGAACGAACGAACAAACAAACAGGCAACATAGGATAGTCAATCAAAGACGCACGTGCAAATGCAATGCAGCTTAAATTTCCAACTGGTCGATAGGTGGACATCATCCCTTCCAGATGTTTGCTTAAAATCTCAATGCCCTTTTTGTTCGCATTTCTGATTATTTCTTTTTCATCAGATTGTTCTTGATATGTTTTTGAGTGATGCTGTGTTGCGTGATGAAAACTATNTCAACACAAACACANNCACAGATACAAACACACACAGATACAAACACCCACAGATACAAACACCCACAGATACAAACACACACAGATACAAACACCCACAGATACAAACACCCACAGATACAAACACACACAGATACAAACACCCACAGATACAAACACACACAGATACAAACACACACAGATACAAACACACACAGATACAAACACCCACAGATACAAACACACACAGATACAAACACACACGCGCATGTGCAAACACACACAAACACACACACCCTCTCCCAAATATGCATACATGCATGAGGCAAAAACAATTGAAGCTTCTGATGGTTTGTTTTAATTCAAAATAGGAAGGTGGATGATAGTAAAGTTTTTAGCGAAGGAAAAAGGCGTCGAGTTGATCATTCTTTGTTGAATGTTTATTTACGTGATTATTGATATCTATTACAACATCTTCTGCAATTTTTAGAACATTTTTAGAAAATTGCAGAAGCTGTCCTAATAGATATCAATGAACTCCAAAAAACATCCCAATTGTCGTAATTGTCGGCAACCAACTTAATTTTAATTTTCATATCAACGATATTGCTCATAGAGCTCCCTCTCGTGTACGGTTAATCACCAGATGTCGTACCTCAAAGGATAAAGACCTACTTATCAAAGCCTTCTGCCCGTACGTACGTCATCTGGTTGAATATTCTTCATCTGCTTGGAATCTACATTACAAATACCAAATAAACAAAATCGAAGGTGTAGAGAGAAGATTTACAAAGTTTATTCCGTCTCTACGTCATCTCCCATACCTGCCTCGACTGCATGCAGTTGGAATGCATACTTTGGAACGTCGGAGGTTAATTTCTGATCTACTGTATGCTCTCTGTACAAAATGCTTCATAACCTCGTTCAAACAAACCTAAATAGTAATTTCATTCTTCCATCACTGTACTTACCAACTCGGGGACATCAAAGCAAATTGCGTGATTTCAATCTTAGAGACAACTCAACTAAATATTTTTTCTGCAACCGAATCATTCAAATAGTGTATACCTTGCCAACAGATGTCGTCTCTTCAACCTCATATGCTGTCTTCAAAAATCAACTGCTCTCTGTTGATTTTAACAAATTTTTAACTATTAAACAACTATCAATATTATTATAACTATCAATTTATCAAACTTCATTTAATTGGTTTTTCTTATGATATTATTTCGCGAGATTGATGGTCATTATTAATGTTAACTCTGATTTTTCAAACTTACTTTTCCGTGTCGACGTACATTCTATTGAAATTCGTTTATTTTTATTTTTTTCGGTCTAGTCAAGTGGTTTTTTATGACCCTCTTGGCAGTTTTGTCAATAAATTCTCAATAAATATAAAATTAAAAAACAAAATTTAAAAAGAAACTCTATAATAAACGTCCACCAACAGGTAGTTTCGATCCTACCAACAAAAAAATTACTCACACAAAGAAGCAAGGAACTCAGAGTTCATTAGTTGAAAATACTATAAATAACCAGATGAGCTACATATAACAATATCACAAACTCTATTACACTGATGATGGTAAAGGTTACCGAAAAAAGTTTTTATGTAAATGTACATATGAAAAATGCAGTCTAAAAAATTAACACTTTTATTATAAATAAATAATGGGCTTAAGCGTAAGTTATATATGCCCATATCAAAATAGCATTAAAAGACAAAAGCAATCGAACAACAATGTCAATTTTATGATCATAGAGAAGTTCTTTGTTGGCCATATATAAGTCAAAATTCTTCCTGAAGTTGAAAACAGTATCTGTTTCAACAACGCATGTCGGTAAATTGTTCCAAATAGAGATCACTCTGTTAGAAAACGAAAATTTTCTTGTATTTGTATGGAACTTTTGAACATGTATTCTATAGCGATGCCCTCTGGTACGTGGATCCGCATCAAAACACAAAGTTGGTGAGGAATCTCTATCTACCATACCCTTCGCAATGTTGAAAATCATTAATATGTCTCCATGAACTCTTCTAAATCTTAAAGTTGGCAAGCCGAGAAACTTCAATCGATCCGAGTAACAAAGGCCTTTGCAATTCCTGACCATCTTTGTTGCCCGTTTCTGAACCCTTTCCAATTCGTCAATTTCCTTTATTTTCCAAGGAGACTATACACTGACATCATACTCTAACTTTGACCAAATTAAAAATTTATAAATCAAAATAAATGAATTTTTAGTTAAATTTTTAGAGTTTCTGTATAACAATCCTAAAAGAACAAAACATTTATTAAAGACATGATGTATATACTCAGAGAAGCTCAGTGAACGTTCAAACAAAACCCCCAAATCGTTTACTTCACCACAAAAATACAAGTTAGAATTATTAATATTATAACACCAGGTATTATCCAAATATGAATGACCAAATTTTATAGCTGCACACGCATCAATATTCAAACCGATTTTACATAATATACACCAATCATACAATTTATCATGATGTTTTTTTAACACTATTCTATAATCCAGACATCATATAAAATTAAACATTTTAGCATCATCAGCATACAAATACATTTGAACAAAACTATCTTTCACAATATCAAACATGTCATTCACATATACAATAAACAAAGCCGGACCTAATAGACTTTCTTGAGGCACTCCACTACTAACTTCAAACCTTTTGGACAAACAATTATTCACACTCACACTAGAAGTTCTACCACACAAATACTCCTTAATGGATTCAACCAAACAATCATTCACACCATAACCACGCAACTTATTAATCAATAACACATGTGGCACTCTATCAAAAGCTGTATTATTTATTATAAAATTTGAATAAATTGATA